GGTTCGTCAGCCAAAGGACAGGTCTCATCTCCCACAGCTCCCTAAGGCAGAAGACCTGCTTTGATAGATTTATCAGACAGTTAATATCAGCAGATCCCATCCTGCCAGGCTCTGGGCTGTGGAACTCACACTGGGTGATGGCAGCAGCTAGATGGCAGCACTAGTTCTTGCCACTAGTTCTAACACTAGTTCTTCCTACAACCCCCACACACATACACACACAAGCTTCACATCCTTATTGATAGGAACAGTTGTGGTGGAGCAGCCACCTCAACTTGTTTTGTTTGGTTTTCTTATCACACCTATCTTCAGTTCGATATGACAGCGGTTCTGTAAGGTAAGGGTCAAAGCCAGCGGTGAAGACAAGCATCTCTCTGCTTTTGCCCTCTGACCTGCCTTCAATTAGGTATGACCATAAATCAGAATGCTCTCAAAAAGAGTAGCACATGCAGCTAATAAATTGTGGAAGGTAAGAGCTGGTTGTGACATTAGTAGTAGCAGACCAGCCAGAAACTTAACCAGGAGATCAGGGAAGAAGACAGAGATTTCCTGACTAAAATCATGGTCATCCCTGACAGTCAAGAAGACTGTGTGGATGTCCAAGACTACATGTCTAAGAAATTATGCCAAAGCTACACGCTGACAGTAGAAGATAAACTTGACTGCACTAGTCCAGCCAAGTCACGAAATAAACAAACAATAATAACCAAAGCCCCACAAAAGAGTATTACACAGAGTTACTAAGATGTATCATCCAAAATGTTCATTTTTATACCAAAAAAAATAAGAGCTATGCAAAGGAACAGGAAAGTGTGACCCATACATAGTAAGAAATACAGGCAACAGAAATTACTTTAAATGGGCCCAGATGTTTGACTTAGCAAACAAATTTCTAAGAGCTATTACAAATATTTTCAAAGAAAATTTAAAAAACTCTTTTTTGGATTTTAAAGCAAAAACTCTGAAGAAATATTGCTAAAAGAATCTAATAACTGATATTTCATTCTGATATCCTTGAGATTCTAAAATCTAAAGGAATCCATCATTAAAAAATTAAAACAAAGTGTGATGATAATGTCTCGTAAATCTCAATAACATGTAAAGAAACAATCAAATGTAAATTTGGGAGTGGGAAAGAAAACTTCTTAAAAGAAAAATTCTCTTGAGCAACACAGTAGTAGATTTGAACTAGCTAAAGAAAAGTGAGTGAACTTGAAGGTCAATGAGTAGAGGGACCAGCAGTTAGAGTAATGGTATGCCGCTGGACTCCCTTGTAGTCGATCACATTTGAGTCCCAGACCCAGTGGCTTAAACTCACACTGGGTGCGTGTATGTGCATGTCCAAGATCCTGAGAAGAGAATGGCAGAGAGGGATTGCAGTGTGACCATCCCCCTGGGGGATGATTTCTCGCTTTCTATCTCTCTGTCTCTTTCTGTCTTTCTGGCAAGTGCACGTGCCCTATAGAAAAAAAAAAAAAAAGTCAGTGAATAGAAATTATGCCATCAGAAGAAAAAAAAGAAAACAAAATGAGGAAAAATGATTCACAGCCTTTGAGACCTCTGGGACACCACTAAACACATAAACATACATGTGAGGAGAGTAATGGAAAAAGAAATACAGGAAAGGTTACAGAAAAAAATTCCAAGGGACCAGCAGTTAGCATAATGGCTATGTCGCTGGACTCCCACGTAGTGACCGTGGTTCGAGTCCCAGACCCAGCGGCTTAAAACTCAACACCAGGCGCATGTGCGTGTGTGCCCAAGACCCCGAGAGGAGAATGGAGGAGAAGGGATTGCGGCGTAGCCATCCCCCGTGCGGGGTGATTTCTCGCTTTCTGTCTCTCTGTCTCTCTCTGTCTGGTGAGCACACGCGCCCTATAGCAAAAACGTCTCCAAAAATTAAAAAAAAAAAAGAAAGAGAAAAAAATTCCAAGAAAATGGTTAAAAACTTTCTAAATTTGCTGAAAAACATTAATTTGCACATTGAAAAATCAATGGGCTCCAAGTAAGATAACCACAGTGATTCCACACACAGACACATAATAGTCAAAATTTAAAAAATAAAAAAATAAAAAATAAAACCAAGGTATCTTGAAAGCAGCAAGAGAAAAAAAAAAATAGTCTCATCAGGTATAAGTGAACCCAAATGTAACTAATAGTTGACTTCCCAATAGAAGCAATGAGGCCAAATGGCAGTAGAAAGACAGATTGACAGGTCTGAAAGAAAAAAATTGTCAGCAAAAGACTCTCATAGGCAGCAAAACTATCTTTCAAAAACTAAAGGCAAATCAAAAACAGAGATTTTGTTGCTAGCATCACACTATACAAGAAATACTAAATGAAGTTCTTCGTGAAAGCAAGTGACACCAGAGTAATTTGATTCTACATTTAAAAAAGAGTGCCAGTAAAGTAGTAAATATTAAAAGACAAGATAAATGGATATTTTTGTCCTTTCTTCTTTGTATTGATTATAAATCCAATTTGCATAAACATTATATACATAATAACATGGGCTTATAACATATAGAAATGCAGTCTTTTCACAATAAGAGTCTAAAGAAGGTGGGTGCCAACAAAGCTGTATTGGAGTAAGAAAATGACACCAGGTGGTAACTCAGATCCATAGAAAAGATAAAGAGAACCAGAAATTGAGAAGGTTGATATAACAAATTCTGTGCAGATATACTTGTTCTTTATTTATTCAGCTTCTTTAAAACGTAAAATGTACAAAGTAGTAACTATAAGAATATATTATCTTTTTTATCATATATACACACAATGTATATGACAATTACAGCATAAAAGTATGAGAGATAATACAACTATATAGGAGTAAAATTTATATATGTTACTGGAATAAAGGTAGTACAAATCTGAAGTAGATTCTGATAGGTTAAAATGCATATTATATGTTCCCCCCCAGAAAAAAAGAATCACTGGAAAAAAACTCCAAATCAGTAGTTTTAAAACCTATTAAAAGGATGCTCTTGTGATCAAAAAGGCATAGAACACTATAATTAAGTAAACCTAATATTCTATCTATCTGTATATAGAACACTCCACCCACAAAAGCAGAATGCATATTTTTCTCAAGCACACATAGAACATTATCCAAGACAGGCCAAACATTTTGCTAACTAACAAAATAAAAAATAAATCAATAAAAGACTCGGATAATCACCCACCAATGAACTAGATAACATAGATGAAAAATTTCTTGAGAGACACAAATTAACAAAACTATCTCAAGAATAAGAAAATTGGATAGACTTAATTACTTAAATGAGTAATATTAAAAAAAAAAAAAAAAAAAAAAGTCTCATGAAGAATAGCTCAGGTCCAGATAGCTTCTTGGAGAATTTAACCAAACATTCCCCAATTCACTTTGTGAGTGCAGAACTACCCTGATACCAAAGCCAGACAAACTCCTCTCAGAAAAATAAAAAATAAAGGGAGCAGCAGATGGCACAATGGTTCCATCACTAGACTTTCCACGTAGTTGACTGCAGTTCGCATCCTTAATAGTTATGCCAGGCACTTGTGCATGCATGCATGCCCAAAATCCCAAGAGGACAACTGAGGAGAAGGGATTGTGGTTTGGCCATCCCGCCGTGGGGTAAATTCGCACTTTCTATCGTTCTTTCTCTGTCTCTCTAGCAAAAATCTGTCAACAAAAATAATAAATTAAAAAAACTAAAAAATGTATATACACACATACAACTACTATATACATATACAACTACAATATCTATATACTATATCTAAGAAATAAAC